CTGTAGCAAGGTTAAGTCATGTAGAAGGGAACCGTAGGTTTTTTTTCGCGCAATATGCGGCGTACGGGCCGCATTCGCAGCGCATGCATTTGCATGCGATCTCGCGAAATTTCAATGAACCCCGTTCTCCCAATATAACCCTCACCAAAATATAAAAAGGCTTTAAATATATAGCTATATATTTAACTGTCGCCGTGCACAGCACACGACCCCTGTGTATATATTTTATTGAAACGCTTCAAGTGCCTGTGCCAGTGGCAGTGGTTGAAACAATGAAAGCTTGCTTCGTCGCTCAGTGACGTCACAGTTTCGACTGTACAAAATTTAATTAATTTTGTTTTTATTTTTAATACTAATAGCAGGGTTACTCGGTTAGGGTTATTTTTTAGAGTTATGGTTAGGGTTAGGGTTAGGGTCACAATGCACCTTAAAACAAGAACTTGAATAAAGAACTGCAGGACTGTAGTTGTTTAACAATTGGTCAATGTTCACTTGTTTGTTGATATTTTGAGTTTCGATGAGTTGAACTACTTCAACTAGTTCAGTAAGCCGGGCTAGTTGATTTTTTTACCTATAAGGTGACGATGTTCGCCACGTTTCTCAGTACTACATACTTGTACTCACATATTGTGTTAGATCTTGCACAGATCTTGGGTCTGTGCCACAGTCTCTGCTAGTTTGAATAGCAATCTGATTTTCTTGCTTTATATCTGCCATTTTCCTGCTGGAGTCGAGAGAGGGCGCGATTCGTGACGTCAGTTTGTCACGTGACGTTATCATGGGTGAACTCAGCTAGGATGTTCACATTACGGAATTTGTCATCAAATTCTAAGCCTTTCCAGGTCTGTACTGTTATTTCACTAAAAGATAAATTGCTGATTTTATCTACGTGAACCGTGGTGATCTTCTACGGAATCTCACGCATCCTGTTGGTTTCATAATACCACTGTCACTGACAGTGACAATCTTACCACCTTGCTCTGAACACTCGTATCTGAATTATTTTGATATTATTAGTAAACAAGCAACTTACCTAGGCCTATTTATAAGCCTTGATGTGTGGTTTGAATGTGCAGTCGGTTACAGCTTAGGTTTAGGTCTCACATACGTCACACCGAACGTAAACACCCGTATTTATATGATAAACAACCTACTCGGGCTACTGTGTGAGAGGTAGCTAGTCTTATCAAGTTTGCTCCATTCTGATTCTGCGAAATCATGTAAAATATCATTTTGCAGAATGCAAACTTATGTGATAAACGTTTATTTATTTCAAAATCGATTATTTATTTAGGGCAGACACAAACAATATGAGCGCCTTTTTGGCCCAGTGGTTAGGCCACGTATACTGTCCACTGAAGGCTGTGAGTTCAAACCCTCGGCCGGGGCAGTGAATTTTCTCAAGGTGTAAAAACCTGGCTCTCAACATTGGAGACTGTGAATCTCCCGTGGCTCAGATGACCACGTAAAATGGCAGTCCCGTCTCCAGTAATACTAAGGCCAATGGGGACGTAAAAGAACCACTGAGGGTGCAAAAAAACTGGATGTGACCACCCTCAGTGCCATTTGGCTAAAAGGTTAACTACCTGGCTTTACCCAAGCTAGGTCACACCCCATGGCTAGCGATAGCCCTGTACGTTTATTCCTTACGGAATGGCCCTGCGAATTATCCACGTAACCGTGGGCTACGCAGTAAAATATCCAGATCCAGCTGCCAATAACTAGCACAGGACAATTATGCCCAATAATTAATGTAGTGGACCTAGGGTGGCCACAACTCGGCAGCATTTTACAGGTGTTCATTTAACACGTGTAATTTATTTGTTTCGGGATAATTTTTTGCTCCCACCCTGAAGGCAGGACGGCGATGCACAGTCTTTATATGTTTAAATACGCTCTAGGTAACTTTTATTTACGGTTATAAAAATAAGATAGGTTGAGAGTATCTACGTGTTGACGTTTTATTTAAATTTTTCTAATATGTATATATTATGTATAAAAATCCTGTGGTTCCTGGACGACGATCGATGCATTGTTTGTTCATTTTTCCCATTGTTGTTGTTGTCGTTCAACTGAGCTTGTGGATGAACTAACTCGGTGGTTGTAGTCGATCAGTAAAGCCCGGCGCACATTGCCGAACATTTTGCTCAAAAACATTATCGTAGCAATGTTCCCTGAAATGTTCGGCAATGTGCGGTGAAAGAAGTCGCCGAACATTTGTTCCGAACAATGTTTCTGAAGATCGGAAATGTTTGATATCTCGATCATTGTTCGTCGAATGTTCGTCAATGTGCGCTGAATGTCGAACAATTCTAGGAACATTTGTAAAGTAGTAACCAATAGCAGCACGATATGTGGTCACATGATTTTTGTGTACAATATGGCGTCTGCTATATCGCTGCCAGAAGTGTGGACTTTTGAAAAGGAAGTAGATTTAGGCCCAGCAACAAAAAAATACCTTTGGTCGTGGGCACATGGATGGAAAATTAAGGTCCGGTAGGGTAAGTCATAACATTTTTTTTTTTTTTTTTTTTTTGCCAAAAAAATCATGGGTAAGGGCAGGAAATTAAGATTTTTTTTTCACAAGTTGACCAATAAGGTATACAGCTTGGAATGCAGGCGCCACGAGATGCAAATGACTTGCAGTTTGCATGTACCATTGCCTTGCAAGTCATGACATTGGTTTTCATAAATTGAACGCACAGTCGTTTACTGGTGTCCGTGTACTGGTAGTTCGTGTCGGTAACTGGATAGTTAGTGTTAGGAATCGCGTCCAAAAAACGGAGCTTGATTAATCGTCACCATTGAACAAGCGAGTAACCGAACGTGTCAAACGCTCTGCGGCCCGCGTATAGCAACGAAGCATGTCGTATACTCATATAAGTACGCGATCGACGCGTACCATCAAAGCTGCGCTGCGCCATACGACCCTTCAGGCTCGTGTTTATGAAGTAGCCCGCCGCCCCGGCCCAGGTCTATACGACCTGTTCAACGTTGTAGGATTGCTAGAAAACCGTAGGTAGGATCGTTTCACTTCGCGGCCAACCGAAGTTCTGTTATAAAGTATTTTGAACCTCTCCTTAGGTAAATAAAATGACAAGAGTCGGATATTTGAATATGTATGATCGGCAGGCGGTATCTTTGAATTTTATTTTTTCTTGAAACCCTCTAAAAGTGACCGCAGTCGCACATTTTATCACTCCGAAATGTGAAGTCGGGCGGGTGACCCGAACCAAAGGTAATTTTTAGGTCGGCCTTATGGTCGAAATGGGGGGGGGGGCGGCAGCTCTGTTTAAAATTAGTAAAGTTGTTAAAATTCTCTTGTGCAAACTGGGCATCGCCATTTACGCCGATCACGTGACTCTTTACAACACAACGAGGTTGTTCGCTGCAAAATGTTCAGCAATGTGCGCTCAGCAATTGTTCACCCGCACATTGCCAGACTAAAACATTTGTTCGGACGAACATTTGTTCGGGAAAATGTTCGTCAATGTTGCGCCAGGCTTAAGCTCGTGTCCGAATTGATTTTTTACCGGCGGACCGTAGCTCTTCATATAGCTATCTGGCTGGTACGCTGCCAGCCTGGGAGTATCACCCAGCCTTGCCCAACTCTACCCATGTGACACAGGTGCAGGCTAGTCCCTGGGCAGTGTAACCCCTTGCCTTGCACAGGGGTGGTGCAAGCCCCTGCCTTGCATCTGGGCGGTGTTGCCCAGTATCTCTTGTTATGGAACTTTTTTTTCATGCACAGTTTTAGTCATTTCTATTTTATAGTAAGAAACTTTATTCTATATTTTATAACCATGGCCACATAATTCCTTTCTCCTAAGTTCAGTTAGTGCAGTTAACCGATAGCTGGTGGCTTTAGTAATTCTCCTCCCCTAAAATCGCCATAATAAACTATAGATTGTTTCCAAAGTTCTTCAGTATAGTAAACCATGTAATATCTAACATTGTTGTTAACACTGTTGTTTGGGTTGTTGTTGTTGTTGTTGTTGGTGCTGCTGCTGTTGTTGTTGTTGTTGTTATTTGGTGTGCCTCTTCAGGTAGGCTTAATAGATGTAGTGTAAAGTCTATCATCATATTGTAATGCAACTATCCTGTTACCATGCTTTATAGATCAAACATAAATATGAGCAAAAGTAGGGGGAATAACAAATATAGTAATGCTCCGTATTCTGAAATTAATACGGTCCAGAACAAAACTTATATAACCTGAACTTCCATAGTGTGAACCAGGGTTTCTTCTGAGGGAAAATTAGACAATGGTGGTAATGCCCAGTTTGGGGGAAAAATGCACATGATGGATTCAAAGGCGTGCAGTAGGCACGAATGTGGATTCTGCAGGCAGACGCAGGGGGAGAGAGGTAGAGGGGGTTGTGGGGGTCTCCTTCAAACAAAATTTAACAAATTTGAATGTCTTAGACTGCATTTGATGACCACGTCCGACCGACCTAGTCGGGTAAATGCTTGGTCCGGTCGCATACAACCAAAGTGCTAGTAGTCCGACTGGTCGTGTTAGAATTGGTCATATATATTTCACTGAAAGGTCACCTCTGGCTAGACTAGTTTGCGGCCGCACTGTTTGTCGCAGAGCGTGTACATTGTCTAGCAGAGCGTGAGGCCGGATACCAGTCTACCCTTCGGCAAAAACAATAACGTCGCTTGCTGCCAGCCGCAGTAGACGATCGATAAACCGTGCGCTCGTGTATGCCTGTGGTAGAATACGAATGCTGCACGTGAACTCGGCCCACGCGCGATTTAAAGCACGGGAAACAGCATCTATGAATTCATACGATGAGTCGATGACACACTCTTATCTAAATAAAGTTTTTCATAACAATGGTCTGTGTCTGGGCTAGTGAAAGTTAGGTCAGGCCATCCTTAAAAAATTCTATATTTGCTGTCCCCCGACCCATGATTTTTTTAGTGGTAGGTAGGTAGGTTATTTTGTGTGTGTGAGGCATAATAGTTATTTTAAGTCTGTCCTCATGTTTGCCACACATGCTTTGTGTTTCAGTCTTAACCATGAAAAATGAAAAAAAAAGAAAAAAAAATATGGAACCCAAAATGTCAAAAAAAAAATTTGGGGTCGCGGCTATTTTCGTGGGTCGGTCGGAGGACAGCAAACATATTTTTTGGCTCACCTTGACATCGTCAAGCTGAGCTATTGCCATGGGTCGTCGTCCGTCGTACGTCTGTCCGTCCGTCCGTCAACATTTCGCTACGGTCAACAATAACTCAGGAACCGTTTGACCCACATGTTTGAAATTGGGTATAGTTGTTACTGCTATGCTCCCATATTAAACGTCCTATTTTGAAGCACGCCAGTCGACGTACTTTCGAGCCACAGCAATTTTTTGGCAAAAATGGGAATTGCGATTAGTCAGTTCAGGTTCAACGGATTTTGCTCATTTTTGGTATGTGAATGAATAAGGGCTAGGTGTTTTGATATTTAAAAAAAAATTATGCAAATTAGGTAGGGTTTGGCAATTATATAGCATATTATATAGACACAAACAGTCTGTGGTGTCACACTTCGTTTACACATCTTCGTTTTACAAGATTTCATTGACAATATCTTTAATGCAAAATTGGTATTTCCTCTCCACCCTGCCGATAAAACGTCTATATTAGAGTAAAGTTTTACAAAACATGTCGGAACGCAGCATAACCTATTTATTTCAAACGCCATCGCTACAAAGCGGGTATAGCGCCATCTACGGTCACAAATTGTGATTCATTTTGGTTTATAAATTATAAATTATGGTTTATAAACACAGCCGTTATAATTCTTGTAGTTCTAAGCATGTGATTTTTGTCTAGATAAAACGACCACGAAGAGGGGGCCAGTCGAGATCGGTGAAATATTTTCAGAACTGGCTTTGTAGTTTTTATGAGTCATCCTGTGGCTTTGTGCTGAATATTTCGAATCTCTTGCAGTTTTGTAGGGTATACGAGGCCCATCCAGTTGATGCATTTGTAGAATAGGGAGGACCATCATAAAAGGCCAGGTCTGGGATTTAGTGTCAGCAAAAGAAAGATTGCAGCGTAGCATGGCCAAAGAGCGAGTGGCCTTTTTACCTCTGCCAGGGGCTTGGCGGAGGTTATGTTTTCACCGGTGTGTCTTTGAGTGTTGGTTTGTGGGTTTGTGTGTTACCATGCACGTTTCAGTTCACTTCCGCTAGGTGCGCTGGCTGTAGACTTACAAACACGCAACCACAGGCTAAGGGCAACCACAGTCCTCCCCCACCTGCACGCTCGCACTAATCCGGATCCAATTAATTATTTAATTAATTAATTAATTTTTTCACTTAATTAATTAATTAATTAATAACAAATTTCACATTGAGAGAATTCAGCTGCCTTGGCAGAGGTCTGTGCTCTCCGAGTGCTCTAGTTATAAATGTAAAGGGCTGGACACACTAGGCGATTTTTTCTGACAACTAGTTGCGCGACTTTACCGCCCGTTAATTCTAGTGAGACTTGATCGCGCGAGTCGAGTGGACACATCACGCGATTTTTGACGGCGAGTTCCTACTGCCACCTACCGTGCACTACCGCCACCACGTAAACGAACAAAATGGCAGCGTCCAGTAAAAAGAAAAAAAAATCAGAAAAAACGGAAAATTGCGATTGCAATGGCAGTTTATGTGCATGGCCAGATGCAAGGCCAAAAAAAAAGAAGGTGCGTTTCCGATTGCATCGAAAACAAAAGTAGGGTAGGTAGGTGGGGATATTTTTTTTATTTTTTTTTATTTTTTGGTTCCTAATATCCCTCTGATGCATGGTATAATGCATGGTGTATTGGTAGGGATAAGTTAGTAAGCAAGTCCAGAACGTGTTTGTAGTAAAAAGTCTCAAGTTTTGTCTGTCAGATTTCAAATGGAAAAAAAAAAGTTTGAAAAAAAGTTTAGGGTCGGCCCTAATAATCTAGGGACAGTCGGTCGACCGGAAACACACCTATTTTTTTGGTTTGGCCTAAGAAGAATAAGGAGGTAAAGAAAACGGTGGGAGAACCGCACCCACTGGGTTAAACCCTGGGTTTGTCGTCGACAGACGTATGGGGTGTTCAACAATTTAATAAATGAATTGACGACCGAAGACCACCCCGGTGATTACCTCTCGTACATGAGAATGTCACCGGAGAGTTTTGACGAGCTTCTGGGGATAGTGGGTCCAAGAATAACCAAAGAGGACACTAAATTTAGGCAAGCCAATAGCCCATCTCAGCGGCTAGCAATCATTGAACAACTCTGATTGGCTGGTGAATTTTTCAGTCGGGTTAAAGTGATCGACGAAGTGGACACATTAGGCGACTGAAGTGCGATTGATTAAAAAGTCGCGCGATAATATCAAAACGTTCTGATCGTTGCGATCGAATCGGGTGACCAAGTCGCCGCTGCAAATCGTCGGTCGCGGTGATGGACACACTAGGCGATTTTGCCAAGCGACTTTACTCGCCCGATTAGATCGCATTAAAAATCGCCTAGTGTGTCCGGCCCTTAATTGATGTGGGCGTTCCAGCACAGGAACTCAAATATTTGTATGGCAGACTAAGTGACAGCTACTTAAAGTAAAGTAAATAGATAAAGGTTAAGGGTGAGTTAGACTGGTTAATGCATAGAATTTTTCATTTGTCAGGATTAAAGGTCGTGCCCCAGGTTGAGGGATTAGTTGTTAGGAGTTAGTTAATTTAACTCATCATTCAAAACAAGTAAGGATATTCTACAGTGCTACTTGGTCATCCTTACTGTGAATCGTATAGTAAATAACCACATCGGTGAAGAGGCGTATAGAAGTATAGTTGTTGGTTTCAATTATTAGATTATTAGTAAATGATAAGAATAGTAGCAGGGTCCCAACCACAGAATTTTTTATAAGTATAGACAAAGTGGGTCTCACTTGTTAGCAGACTTTTTACTGATTACTCCAACACAACAATTACTGCAAAACAAGCGCACTATGCAAATATTTATAGACTTGTACCTATATTGAAATGTATACAAAGGTAATTAACCTAGTGTAGAGATCAAAAATTAGGGGCTAGGTTTGTTGACGTATGTAAACAATCTAATTTGAAATGCAGATCAGTGCACATGTTGGTGGAAAGCATGCTGTGTGAGTGTTCTATGACATGTTAACATTACTATATACATTTGGTGTTATGCATGGAGTACTGGTATAAGTATCAGAACAGTTGAGAAAATATGAAAACGGTTGGGAAAAACATGAGAAATCCTTGCTTTAAGACAGATGCAGTATACTTACATGCATGATTCCTGGAACATTTATTTATATGATGAAAATAGGTACCCCGGACAGGTAGTTTAGAAATTGGATGGCTTGACCTCTCTGTAGCTGTCTTGACTCATTTACATGGCTATAGATTGCAAGACAAACGACCATATACTCTAATAAAGTGAAAAGTACTGGTTACAAGCTACATAAACAACTGAAAAATATAGAAGAAGTATGGAAGAAATGTTTGTGTTTTCACGTTTCGGCATTGTGTGCTCAGATATTATGATTTATGATCTCTGAATTATTTTTTTTTATCTTTGCTAGAGCTGCAAGTGCAGAGGGTGCTGCGCTTTCTAGGATTAATTGGATAAAGTCGTGACACTGTGATAAATGTGAGTTTACTATCTGGAGTTTTAGCATTGGAAATACTATATAGTAAGTGGGATTTTTGTGTGTGTTTGCCATATTGGCATTCGGCATACCTATGCAGATTGGGTTGCATAAATTATGAAAATTGTATAGTATAAGAGAGAATAAATAGTAAATAGTAATTTTTTGTTATAAATTTCTTGTTTTTGAAAAATACTTACCACAAAGTAAAAGAAAAGTCAATCTTTAAAAAATGGCAAGGTGGCAAGCATATTGTATGAAGTAGCTATATGTGCATTTACAAATTAACTTATTTTCAGCTTTTCAAAACTAGCCTGAACTATGTCTGTAGACAGCAGTACAACCAAGCTTTATTCTCAGTTAAGTGTGACTGGTAAGTGCAACATTTTATTTTAATTTTCATATCATTTGACACCAATTGAAAAGAAAAACATTTCAGCTTCTAGTATTGTTTCCAGATATATTTATGCAAAACCTTACTGATTATAATATTGCAAATCTAATTTAATCTAAATTATTAAAAGTCCTTGATCATTAAAACCATCAATACTTTAACAGGGTCTCGTGTAAAACATTGGACAATGTTGATATTTCAATGGAAAGGAGACGAACGAGTGATGTTAATATTTGTAACGAGCTTTTCTCATTACCAAATGTTACTATATTGTAACAAAAGACAGTAAAACCTGCATAGATCATAAATTTAGTCACAAATTAATTTTATGGCATTGAAAAAGAAACTTAAAATGAGCAGCTAATACAATCCCAACTTGACAATCACGTTATGCCTCAGCTTCAGTTAGTGGCAATAAGTTATGCATACCAAAAGACAACACGTTGTTTATAACATTTGTCTCAACACTTTAATTACGAGGTAAAATGTTTTAAGTCAACGTAGTCCCAAGTTAATTTTGTGTCTGTTTTAATAGGTGAGTACAAATGCTAGACAATTAAAAATTATCTTGTGCTAGATTTTATATCCCAGTGTAAATTTCACGGTTAAGCTTGCAAACACCTTTAATATAATCAAGCACCAATCAACACATCATAAATGAAAGTAATTATTTTATCTCTTGATATTGATAAATTGAAGATTATTCGGTAAGGTAACTTTAACCTGTTATAATTGAAGATAATATTGAAAGCTGTGTTACTGTTCTTGTAGTACTGCTATTTATGCTTTGTTGTTGTTGAACATAGTTATACAAAATGGAAGAATTTTAATGATTCACCTCTTATTTTTATCATCTGTGACAGTTGAAGGGTGTAAACTGAATAGTGGTGGAGCCTTCTTCAAGCCTAGTCCGTTCACAGAGATCAGTGTAGATGGACAAACTCCTGTGAAAACGGACATTGTTAAAAAGACATGGACACCACCTTGGGATGAAAACATCACAGTGTATGACTCTTAGCCTCATAAAATCTTATTATTATAGCCTTTTATCATATAAGCTAGGTTTACACGATGCTTTAGAAATACAAGGGTTTTAAAAGCCTGCTTTTGAAAACCGAATTTCTTTTTTTGAAATTTAGATTAATATGACGCTTTGAAAAACACATTTAAAAAGCATTTCTGCTATTTTTTAAGAACAAAAACCAGGAATATTCGAGGGTTGTGTCTATCCACTCTGTTAAAATACATGGGTTCAGGGAATGATTTAGTCACTAGGGTGCAGTGTGCTTTTTCACCTCTATGAAAGCGTATTGATATACTCCCCTTTGCATCGATATGGCAATCATAATTACCAGGGGCCCGTTGTCAGAAACAAAATTATTCTTAACATTAGTCTTAACATTAACTTCCACTCGTAAACCGTTAAACCTTTACCTAACCTGGAACAGTGTCTAAATAACAATATGGAGGAAGTTCGTGAGTGGTGTTCTAAAAACAAAATGGTCATCAATCCATCGAAGACCAAAACCATGCTGGTCACTTCCAGACAGAAGCGTTCTACGCTCTCGTCCACCGCTGGTATACTTCCATACTGTCAAGAGCGGATAATAACGCTAGAGTGTATCAACGGAAAAACGGGAAAAATAGTGCTATTTCAGCGACAACATTATTCTACTGTTGCCTGCGAGTCCTAGAATAATCATGGTATTGCATTAAGCAGAATTCTTTGCTCTCTAAAACAAGGACCAAACCGGCTGAGAATTCAATACGATACTACCTAGGCGGAGATAATGCGGGCTCCTAAAACCTGCCCGGTGTAATTTTACTCGGCCACATGCCAAACGGCGCCTCGAATGACACCTTTCTGCCAGCATCGCTACAGTGCGCGGCTGTAAGGTTCTGTCGAGTGAGAGTTCGGTTTTTCGCAGCCATATTTTATTGAATGATTTATTCGGGTGCAGGGTGCAGGGTGGAGGTGACATTCGGAGGGCATCGCCATGCCTTACTCTCCATTTTAATCTTTCCTAGCACGGCCTAGATGACCGCGTCATGATGGATAGCCGGCATTGTATTTTTTGAATTAAAAAGTCTCTACAACGCAGCTAGTAAGAGTACCAAATTTGGGCATAGTGAATCAATGAGGTACATTTGAAAACAATAGCATATAGGGGGGCGCATGAGTAAGCCAACTACGGTCCTCCGCAACAACTGCCTGCGCGGTGTTTTTACAAGTGAAAAACCGTACTGGTACGGTACCGTGTTTGTAACTTCTGTCTTACAAACATCGATGTTGTTTTTACCGATGGGAAGATGCCCAAACCGAATATTGTGTACTACATTGTGAGAAAGGAAGGGGAAGGACATGCTTCCCTGTAGCGTTTTAAAGGGCAGCGACTGCCTGGATTATAGCTGTGAGTACGAATGAGAAAATAACTAGCTCTGAGACCTCCAAGTGACGCCACGTTGCATGTCGATATCATTTTGCCTGAATGAATCGGACTACGTTGAGACTAACCATAGCTCGTATGGTATAGTTTTTATTATTATTAGCCACATTCAGTAATCAGATTGCCCTAATGTATCTTCTTTTGTATAAGTATATTCAATCAACAGCTAAATGCGAAAAACAAGCTTGGACCAGGCTGCGAGATTAATATCAATACACATTTTCAATATATTAGTTATTGTACCATTTCTTATTCTTGGAGGGCAGCATGCCAAATGAGCTAATCTGCAACAAATACTTTACTTATATTAGTACGCTTTGCAATTGTGCCAGTATGTTTTTTCATGTTGGGTTAACGGCGATTCTAATCTTGAATCTGTATGATCATGTACTCATTAGGGTTAATTATAGCTAGGGGCCTAGTGGGGTTGCAATAAGAGTACTTAAAGTTGAACTGGACAGTCTACCTATACAGTAGCCCGAGTAGGTATACATGCTGTAATATGGTGCTATATATAATATACATATATATAATATAACTAATTCTCTCTAAATGATATAGTATAATAATATTATATATATATATATATATATAGTATAATATGATATATAGTAATTCTGCGGCTATGGCTTTTTATTGTTTTTAGAACTGGCCATCCAACACTTTTGAGGAAGTTGAAATGCACTGCTGTCCTCGCGTTTTCGCGTTGGAACAATCTGTTGCTGCACCCCAGGTTCTCTGGAGGAGGCGGACGGAAGAAGTGAGCAAACGGCAGAGGGCCCGTAACTCAAAGGCAGCCTCATAGTTGGAGGAGCATGGCATGCGGCCTGTAATAGCCGTTACTTGGAAATAGGTGCCTGATGCTGAGTTGTGGAAAGTTAACAAGCTAACACACCTCGTGTCTACCCCTGCCCCTCGTAATAGCTGCAATCTCACTTATCGCCAGGCGAAGTGCAGTATACAGATCATGTTGTATCTATTTGTAAGCGGTAATTTAGCCTGCGGTAATAGGCCGATCCCGTCGTTAACCGCCAAGCGCGCGGGGCAGGCATTATGGCTATGTACAATTCTAAATCTACAATGCATTGAAAATACCCTCGTTATACATCGCATCTGAGTGTTGGGTGCGGGTATCGGTTGATCAGTGGGTCTATGGTAACATACACAGCTAGCACATCCACGGCGAGTTCCTACTGTAATTAGCAAAGTCGTAATTTAGCGGTAGAGATTCCGCCCGCCATCATCACATTAATACTCGGGTCAATTGCAAGACTAGTATTGCGAATATATTGAGTCGATCGCCAATATTTCTAATTAACGTGACATTTCTGCCTATGTCCTTATCTACAGCCTCGAATCTCAGCATGGATTGGGCACACTGACTTCTTCGAGAATCTCAGGAACAGACAGTGCGAGATTGGTGGCAAACCATGGTTTTGTGAGAGGAGAACAGATTGAGAGAGCGCGCGGCGGAATAAATCAAAATACTGCGTAGCGGTTACGCTCAAACCTTAAGATAGTAGATGGAGTTGTACATGTGTCTGGTAGCTTTCCCGGACTAACAGAACAAAAACACGGAAAACAAACATGAAACTATATTGTTTAATTTTAATAGAGCAAATTTAGTTGATAAAACAAAAGAAATTTGTGTTATAATATGATTTTTAGTTGTCATGTGCACTCGGTATTTTGAGTTTTATAATATTAGTCATATATTCATCTATCTTTGATTGGTGTTTAACTAGCAACTGGGACGGCTCATGTTACTAGTTGGTTCCGATGCGATCCTCAATACCCCGTTTCGAAGTTGGTCAGAGTCAGTCGTTATCAATCGACAACACCTCATGTCCATATAGTCCTAGAATGGTGCGATGGGTCGGATAACAGAAGTGTTATTAGCTAGTAATAATGGATAATTTAGCAGGTAACGTAAATGAATTAGGTGAAAAACATGTCAGTAGAATCTTGTCATCAGAACTACATTAAGATCCATATTAATGATGATTAATTAGTCATTCCAACGAGCTTCAGTGGCTCCAAGATTTCAAATAAAATATTCTCAGTTTCTACTGTGCATCTTGCCGAAGGTATGTAGTAGTAATAAAAGAATACTGAAGTAGGCTGTCATATTATAATTAAGTCACAAGAATTGCGGTTCACTATTAATAATAGCACAACTGGAAATTGTACGACCTTACTTACTGATATTTTCACTTTAACTTATTTATAAGATCAATATATATAAAGTAATTATATATATATAAGGACTACGTATTTTTATATTATATAATTTATCATTTATATGATTATTATATATAGTTTATTATATATTAATTAAAGGGAGCATTATATAGTCGCGATTATATTTGGCATGGGAGGGAATGCATCCTTCTCTAGGATTTCGCTTAGTTACTTATTCGTGGGTTTATACTAGGCGCATGTTTAATTGAGTAGCGTGTAAATGTCAAAGTGACGTCGTTTCAGTATTTAGTGCAGAAGTAACTGTCGGCTGGACTATTCATAATAGTAGATCATGATTTTGTACTCAACCCATCATTGAAATTTTTCAAGTAGGGTACAGGTAATAGTGGTCAGATAGACTGTGGATAAGAGGAGAAACAGGGGAGGGGTATAGTATAGTACTATATCTAGGATTTATACTGCATATCAAGCTGTAAACTTACTGGTATAACAAATCGTCTATACCCAACCACGTACTTGTTACGCATACCTAAATTTAATGTTTATAATTAATTATACATCAACAGCTAGCGAAATTTGAAGCGAATCCGACCATTCCGGACCATTAGAGATCTTGAACTGAGCTGTCCTCGCGGAAATGTCGCATGACAAAAACTCAGGCGCAATAAACCGGGTACTATTTGGTCTGTAGGATGGCTAAAAGTCAGCCTGGGAGAGAGAAAATTATTGCAAACCCTTTTTTTACTGTTGGCAAAAAAAAGGCCTAATACAAGGAAACAAAAACAATTTGAAGAGGAAATGACGGCTACGACCCAGGCAACCCCGCCGCAAAAAAATTGTAATTACATAATATCACTTGAAATAAAGTGAAAGGTGATACAAATAATATATGAAATAAAGTTAAGATTTGTATGAATGCTGAAGCTGGCCTTAATATTGTCATAGTCATAGTAATACAGGTAATGAGAATTAGCATATGGCCTACTACGCGTATAGTCATTATCTATGTATATCTAGTAATAGTATTAGTGATATTATCTTACTGCCTGGTAATGAACTAATACTAATACTAATAGCTAGTATGAGACCGAATATGCTAACCGGGCAAGACAACGACGTACAAGTTTGTAAGACAAGACTGGTAGGCTGTCAATAGGTGCATGTTCGATTTAGTTATTGTAATTAAAGGTATATCTCCAATAACTATCATTGGCCAGAACTTATGTATGCAATTTAGCTATTGCTAAATATATAGCTCATTACTTGTTCAAAATACATTTTCAACCGGTTCTGACAAGTCACCACAGATCTCAAAGAATACCTAATATATTGCTCACAGTAGACTGTACCCGTTCGCTGACCCTTCACTCCGGCAAGTATCCATTATCCGCGGGACAGGGCTGAGTTCAGTGGTAGCGTGTGGAAGCTCGACCAGGTGTACGCGCTGCGAGCAGTTTCTTTGTTTACCGGGATTTGCTACTAATTCGCCGGTTGTTGTCGGTCCTGATAAGCTGGTTCTTTTGTTCGGGCCCTCTAGCAGTTCTGTCTTTAGATGCGTTTAGAAGCTCGGTCAGGTTCTTCGTATTTCTTCTTTGGGCAAAATTTGAAACGCAGTGCGTATAATCCCGTAAATCACATGGAAACAAAAACAGAGTTAAGTCACGAGCCGGGAATTTTGCTGGAAGAATCTTGGTTGCGTCGGCAAGCGCGCACCTCCTGGTTTTTTTAGTTCCAAAGTACCCTCATGTATCAGCAGCTCAAGCGGTGACGGAAACGCGATAGGAAGAATGCTTAGCCGCTGTGTCAGGATGTCTGGCAGAAGTGTATATCGTAGGCGGCGTTTGGCATGTGGAGGGGAGTTTTAGGAGTCCGAATATCTCCGCCGCTAGGAGTATGCGTATTGAAGAGCGGTTTGGTCTTGTTTTAGAGAGCCAAAGAATTTCTGCTTTTATGCAATACCTAACTGAAAATTTATTCCTTGTACATCGCCTGGCAAAGTTAGAATAATGTAGTCGTGAAAATTAGCAGTCTTATTTCCGTTTTTCCGTTATTGTACATTTCTAGGTTATTATCCGTCTTGATACTGTCTAGTAGCTCTGCTTCTTCCCACCACGTCGAGTGAGAAATAAAGTGGTTGAGGTTGTTATTCACGCTGCGATGTTGATAACCTTAATCTCCGACGTTTGAAGAGACACATAATGAACGTAGTGTCCACCAACAGATCTGCAAAAATAGCTGGCACTGTTTTGGCGATCAGGAAATTTCTCGTCAATCTGATTTCTGCCTGAAGTTTTATTTTGGCTTTGTTTTACCTGATATGTGAAAATTTTTTATGGGGTTTTAAATTGGGGTTGTGTGCGGAAATGCCCGCGAAGAGTTTATATTGCCAAAGTTTTTAACCTGCAGAAACGTTTGCGCAGTTAATTCTCAACATTCGTAGACCTTCAGACGCCCGAACCTGAAGAAATCTTTTCCAGCCTAGTTTTATGACTGTCTCGCCAGACGTTTTTTATTGACCATCGATCTCTTATTAACTTACAACAATTTTACTAAGGCAGGCACCTGCCTATCTTGACGGTCCCACTTATTTTTTATCCCAAAAGTGCCTAGTAGTCATAACTTCCTAAGTGGGGGCTAGTTAGTCATAATTCAATATCGCATTACTGCCCGGATGGAAGGGTTGGCCTGTAATTATTAGGTGTATGGGGGGGTTTTTTTAATTTTAAACATGAATGTGAGCTCCAGACGGAGAATGCGTAATGTGTTGTGGCAGATGAAGGCGCGTTGTGCGATCCGCCCGTGCACTGCGCACTGAACATGCTACGAAAATCTTTTTAGTGCGACGGCAGGCCTCTGAATGGAAATAATTTACCATCCTGACGCTTTCGAGATCCCCCACACCAATTATCTTCTTTATTAAAGTCGCGTACTAAAAGAAAAATCTGCCACTATCAAATAGGAGCCCATTGCTGCTCTACTTAACCCATCCGTACAGTTTTAGTCAAAGTATTTCAACATATTGTGTAGTTTATTTATATTGTAAAAACCGTTTCTTGTGACTGGGGTGAGCGGGCCATGTGGAGAGAATAGGTGCCGCGGGCGGACAATTTAGTGTGTCTGTACCTGTAACATGTTTTAACCGTCGTTAAATAAAGTTTTTACGTACTTACTTATTAACATGAAACTTCGTCTGCTTGAAAGTTACGTTAGACACGGAGTGAAAAAGCCGCAAAGCTCGCCCAAATATAAACTCAAAGTTTTCTTTGAGCGATTAACGCACGGAGCTCCACATGACCCTTTCTCAGTAAAGCTTTGAAATATTAAGATGAAATAACACATTTAGACTAAGATTCCAATTCATAGGTGCGATATTATATTTTTATATTAATGACGTAATATCAATTTTTTTTCTTGACCAACAGCCGTCAAAAACATTAATTATTCTACGCGATGTGAAACAAAACAAAACATTTACAAATGGCGTATGGCATTTGTTCTCTTGTTTTAAATACTTTTGCACTGACCACGACTCTCGCGTCTCGTGTTACAGTGTGAGAATTTGTCTTGTTGTGCAGAATAAATTCAAGACCGTGTCTATGCACAGTTCTTGAAAAGTCCTTCAATTTGAGGGGAGTCATTGAAAAGTACTTGAATTTAGTAAATGTTGATTTTGTGCTTGAAAAGCCCTTGAATTTCATGAAAATGTCCTTGAATTTCATTAAAATGTCCTTGAATTTTTAGAAAGAATCCTTGCCTGTAATAAAAAGAAATTTTGTATCATCAATAATGTGCAAACCTCAATAAAAATTGCGTTAAATGAGCTTAAAAAGCTTTAGACACGATAGACAGTTAAATGATGATCACAAATTACAGTAAAATCAGTCAGTAAATCAAGGTATGTTGTAGAAGTGACAGTGTTTAGAAGGGTTTATTAATGTGATCCAGGTAAGTTTTAGAGGTGACAGTGATTAAGAATGGGGTTATTATTAAATTAACCCAGGTATGATTTGTTCTGTGTATGAATTCCGATAAAATGTCCTTGAATTTCCGATAAAATGTCCTTGAATTTCCGATAAAATGTTCTTGAATTTCCGATAAAATGTCCTTGAAAAGTCCTTGAAAAAATTTTCAGTCTTGTATGAACCATCATGCACTGTCGTTTTTCATCAAATATTATTTATGTGTGGTTAGCCATCATAATATGCATAAATTACTGTGATGCACAATAAATGTGTATGAATTTGAATTTTGTGATCGATTCTCATCCAATCAGCAGACTTTGCGACATTATCAGCAAACTTACAATAACAGAAACTTCATAATTTGAAGTTTCTGTTATTGTAAGTTTTCTAATAGCTGCGATGTGTTTCTGTCAATGCTCCTCTCGTAACATTAACATTAGTCGTAAGTGTTTTCTTAGCATTAACATTAGCATTAACTTTACGATGTTTCTGACAACGGCCCCCAGGCTTAGATAACCCGCTTTCTACCTCACCATCCAAAGGTAATTTATCTAATTACTCACATATTAAGAACAGGGTTTTGTAAAGTGTTTACGGATGGTTCGGGTTATTATATGTTGTGTAGATGTAGCTACTAGCATCACTTGCTACGTTGTTTTATATATTTCAGCCTGAAGGTTGTTCCAAAATACATTTGTGCATAGTTTTTAGAAATCACACTGATTTGATAGTGGAGAGGAAATACTTCCTATGGCATTATCTTTTATCTGATATCTGTGTGCGTACTGATTGCTCTATATATTTGACTGATCGACCTATTTGAGGAAGTGTAACCCTCTCTTCTTGTTGCTTAGCATAAAAAACATTAGACATGTTCTTGCACTCAATCAGCAATTTCTTGCTCAAAAACGTAAGACCAACACTGTGTATGTGAAGAAAAACAAAATTATTGAAATTTTGTCAGGAACCGCAATTGTAATCTCACTGGGATGTTGTTTATTGCAGTCTTGTCACACCATACTCGAACATAGACTTCAAGGTTCTTGACTACAAACAGTTGCGAGCCAACATTCTTCTGGGCCACACCAGCCTAGCACTGCATAAGATTCTGCAGGAACACAATGGTGTCGGTAAGTAGTTCTGGAGGGTGGTAGTATTTCTAACGGCCGCTAAGAAGTTTTTTGCAAATGTTTCTGTGTGTTAACAGTTGCTGTTCTGTCCTGCAATGCGGCAAGCATTCTGTTGGTCCATAGAGAAGTGGCAGTAGAGTGTGCTCTAAAATTGTGTTCTAGGAGCATGTGCAAACACAGTGTCCTGGAAGTCCACAAGTCAATGGAAAATTGTTTGTGGTTGCTGGAAGTGAAATGGCAATCTTATTCTTAAAGTTTTTCCTATTTATAACGCCTCTATAGTAGCTCCTCTCACTCCAAAAATGGTGATTGTCACGGAGGCGTACATCCGTATTGCTGCAGGTACATGTCCTTGTCTCACTGAAACCACAGACATCTGGAAACCTACAAATGCTATATATATATATATTGTCCAAATAACCACTTTTATAAACTGTTATTAATGGTAGCAAATTTTTGGGGATTTGCGCTTATGTTTTGTGATGATTTTCATGTTCTTTGTGCATTCAGGGGTACATATTATTGTACAAGTTGTGTATTGTGCATTTGTTGTTTTACACGGAGGTGCACAATTGATATATGCCTGCAAACACATCAAAAATACGCTTGCAAAACACTAGCTTTTATGTAATATAGTATTCATATTCATAATGTGTATAATTCATTATAGGGATTTAGCTTAATAGCTGTGCAGTTAGTACAGATTATAGACATTATGATTAAGCTGACATAATTAAAGTAGAGTGACTATTCTATCATTACAGTTACAATAACAAATTGCCTTTGGTGTTACGTTATTTCACCACTTGTCATGTCAACAAATTCCTTGACAGGTGAGTTGACAGGTGACAGGCAGTTCAGTTATTATAATTTTACAACAACATGTTATTAACTGGTTTTTAATGCCAAGGTAATGACTGAACTTGCATCTGACTGCTCTGTTATTTGAAAGTGGTTTGCATTCAGTAATACCAAGTATTCTGAACCAGTACCTTAGAGGGAGCCACTTTCATAAGCAGCACGCAGTAATGTCGAAGCACAATGAGTTCGGCTGTCCTTCTACACGTCGCGGGTGTGGCTGGTATGCGAGTGGAAATCCGCGGAAGAATGTACGTGGCTGGGTTCGCGGAGGTGGCGGCTCGCAAACTTGATGTGGTACTTACTCGGCTGGTATTTATTTGGTGAAGTGGCAGCACCTGTCACGTTAGGGGAGTTAGCATGTCTGATCCATATAACTGCACGGCTTGTACACCCCCACATCTGGGATCTAATTGCGGTCTTTCGTTTCTATTTGCGGTTCTGGTTTGTTGGAAAGGATTATTGGCTGCCCCCTTTAGCCTTTGGTCTGATATTGGCGAGCGAAAGTATGCATTCATGTCCTTTTTGTCAAGCAGTTTTGTCCAAAATGGATTTTGATTGCCAGAAATGCAACAAATACAGCTACATTTTGCATTTCTGTTGTTTATAGTTTATAAACTAAAGCTTATTATTATTATCACTGGAAAATGACTGAGTGACCAACTCCATGTGTAGTGAATTTTAAAACAAAGTGTTTAATTTGCCGTATCACCGAATAATTGCTCGCACTAGGAGCTTGCTCTCTGAACATTGTCACAGCACATGGTGGGCGAAAAATAATTCACCTTGGAAACACGATCTATGCTTGTTTGCACGGTGTGAATTTCATCGCGTAGTCCGAAGTACGTGCGCCATAATTTGCAAGGTGTGTTTGTCGGTCGGCAAAGTGGCAATCACTGTGAGGAAATTGCTAGGGCTGACATGCATTGTTGGCATTAATAGAATAGCGGCGTCATCTAATCAGCAGGACATAACATCTATGGTCAGACCCAGGGTCACCGCAGACATACCACACCTGCTACTGTCTATCTGCAGCTTCACTGGGTCACAGCGTTGTTTGGGGGGTGGCGGCGTTGTTTTCTACGCGGCCTGTGATCAGCTGGCTTCCGAGACTGGGTGTGAGTGGAGAAGTCACGCCAGTAGTAGCGTCTTCTTATGATAAAACACGTGTCCTATCGGCATGTACTCGGTCATATTAGCCAGGAAACGAGCGTCTGTTGTTGACAGGCCAGCGGACACGCGGCGCGAAACGAAGCAGAGATCTGTCGACGTGCAGGCTGACACCTGCTTGGAGGTTCCGGCGTACAGTCACACGCGAAGATGATAATTACCAGCAGGCAGGACAATGAAGTAGCTCATTGATTTCTCGCAGACCGTATCAGGGCACCCGAGAGAGAGAGAGAGAGAGAGAAGGAGAAGGGGGCGGGGGCGTATGATGCAGCAATATAGACAGCAACAGACAGAGATAGATAGAAGGATGGATTGATAGATGGACGGGCGGGTGGGCGAATGGACGGAGGGATAGACAGATAGATAAGGTAATAAACAAAGACGTAGGGTTAACAGGGGAGAGCCGGAGATGGGGGAAGTGATGGAGGGAACTCGGGGAAGGGCTGGTGAAAAGAAAAAGGGAGGAAGTGGGTGAGGATGAGAGAGTGAAAGCATAGAAGTAAATGTTGTAAATCGACCATAGTACTATTTTAACCTTTCAAAAGTTCTAAATTTCAAAAGTTCTAACCTTTCAAAAGTTCTAAAACAGTGTGAAGCTAATTCTATGCTTGGATATGCTGGTCGCGTGACGGGGAAATTCCATGGAGGTAGACAATAGCCATTATGCATAATCAAATCGGTTTTCGTGAGTGAGCTTGAGTATTAAACAGACATTCGGTACTAAGTCCCCAATCATCCCAGTCAATGAAGCGGAAAATTCTGAATAGCATTTGTGCAAATGCGAAATGTGTGAAACAGTCGCAGTTCTGATCTAACTTGCGTAAATCACGTTTGCACCATATGACTGATCTGCTTGGCTGCTGCAACATAACAAGCTTCGCGTAGGTTTTCACTGATTCACGTGATATATAAATAATGGTGTCTATGCGTTGCGCAACGGCTGAGAGTAAGTGCAGATCTACAGGTAGATAAATATGAATGCACATAGTAGACTAGTACAACAGGCAAGAAATACAGGTGTGCGTAATTTCCCAGAGAAAGGCTGTGGTTTGGAATGCATATTGTAACTGAGACAGGGCACGAGAAAAAGTGCATAATGTATTTGAGACAGGGAGAGGTGTAAATATTGTACCGGAGATAAAGGGAAAAGGGGGGGTACTGCGTTGTATACTTGAGACAATGGTTAATGTGAGGTTGTGCTTTGTATTTGACTATAGGCATTGGGTCGTCATGGGGTGGTCGTAGGGTGGGGTGATGGGACTAAAATTGGACTAGAATATTGTGAAAAGGTAAGGAAGAGTCAGATACCCCTTTTAAAGGTTGCGTAGTTGGTGGTGTGACTAACATGTGATATATATGTCATGATAGTGCACAGATCCGGGATGTATGCCAAATGTTCGACAGTGCATGTCAGTGCGTATCATCGGCAGCCACTGTAGACCCAAGTAAAGTCAACAATTAGGTTTTCTTTTCTTTTTATACCATTTACGCGACGTGACAAAGGTTTTACTCGTTGCCTAGTCGGCTGCGTGAAACGCCCAAGGACACAAAGACGTGCTGATTATTTGCGTGTCACTCAAATAATTTCAAGTACGGTGTGAAAAAAAGTGCGGCTACCTAATTCGGTTAATGTGTGCAATGCATAATTGCAAGTTTGTGTGGGTTGTGCAATGAGTTGACACTTAAATCGATGGAGTCGCTAAGACTGGTGCTTGCACCCTGAAAATGTCATAGTGATTTAATTAGCTAGTGTGTGGGTAGTGGCTTGGTGCCTAGAATGCATGTTGGATATGTCAGCTCCTAGATTCATTACCCGTTAGCCACCATGCAAGCGTTTTAATTTCCAGACACTAGCAGTGAATAATTTATGTTTATGCAGTATTAGCCTCCAGAGTTGCAAAGCCACAGCATATATAGATTAAAATGTCATAATTTTGTCAATGTGGTTTCCCTACAATGTAGTCTTTAATTTGTAGTTTCCTGCTTACAACTCGAATACACACTGAAAAAGCCTCTTAACCTCCTGAATGCAACAAATATTCGTGTTTAAAACCCTTTACATTCAGTGGCAAGTGATCCATTAGGCTGGTTGGAAAAATTGCCTGGTTTACCGTATCACGTGGTGCAGGATTTGAAAGGGCCCGCTATAGGTATAGGCACCAAATTTCTGATTCGTATAAAATAAAAATGTATTAGAGAGGGGGAAATGCTGCATTCTTAAAGTATGTGAAGCAAAATAAATGCATTTTCAATGCCCACGACTGCATTTGTAAGCATTATGTACAAACCGATAAAGTGCGTATAATGGTCTTTCCTGCTATGGATAGATCCCCCCTCCCCCTATACATTTTTATTGATGGCTGAAAAGTTATATTTACCCACCGTTCTTTGCGTATTGATATTACTAAAAATTTTAACTATGGAAAAATTCGTACGGGAGACTAAACCTTTGGGAAAATTAGTCCATTAGCCAATGCTTTGAAGAAATATTGAAAAATTTGCACCAGTTGGCTGTGTCTGGTGATATAGCAAGAAGTAACAAGTCTCGCGAGACTTGAGAAGCAAAAATTAAAAGTTTACGTGATATTTTATCGCTCTAATTTCAAGGCCTAATAGTGATATATACGACTCCTAACGTTTCATGAAGTTACTGTAAATTAACGCACTAAGCGTGTAAAAATAATAAATAATTCGAAGCTAAAACCATCACAGCTTTCTTTGAGAAACGTGTACCTGCCTTCTCTGTTGTCATTATACTGTAACCAGGCAAGCCATAGTTGCATTTTTATGTGCAATAACCTACACTGTAAGCTTTCTGTACATTCCACGAGTCACATTTTCTACTTGTTCTGTTCTTCATTTTCGGGAATTTCTTTGTACTATTGAATAGCCTACCCGTTTTCTGTGTAGTTATTGTTGTAGTTGTGAAATCTGTGATAAAATCTGGTACAACTGGCTAGTGTATTTGTGCA